GTTGTGTTAAAATGGTCAAGCTTCCTCGAGGCAGTTACACAGCGCTTACAACTGTCTCTGGAAGTGAAAGCACCACAAAATAAATTAAGTCATACGTAGCTGTCATACGTACGCAAGGAAGTAAGCACAAGATGCCGAACACCCTTAGCAGGATGCAGCTCACCCTTCATGCGACTAGCCAAATACCTCACGACGCTTCGCGCTTGGTGATGTGAGAGCCTGGTCCGGTGAGAACCCGGCGTGCTCCGTCCCGGCTTTGTAGGGATGCGAGGTCAATGGTCAAACGACTACGGCATGCACGACTATGAGTACACCCCCCCCCCCCCCCCCCTACTTGTGCCCCTTTTCTGGGGAGAATAAGCTTTAATGTCACTTTTTGCTCTTTGGCCTTTCCCCGTCATGCTCTTTGGATATGCATATGATTAGGGTTAGGTTTGTTTAGGGTTAGGGTTACTAGGGGTTGGTTTAAGTGCGCGCGCTTTTTTCTCTTTAAATCGCTTCGGGAGGGTTAGGGTCATGGTTAGTCAAAGCAACTCCAAATATAAGCGACAAGCGATTGAGTCAACACCCTCTGGAGAGCTAGCGACGAGCCTGAAGGCACGTCTTATCGAAAATATTTTGTTGCCTGACGCGTCCAATGGACGAATACGCTCGAACTATGGACAACATATGCTCCTTTCTGGAGCCTTGGTTACACTTTGATAGTAACTCTTAAAAGGACTAACCGATGTTGAACGTAGCAAGGCCAGGTTCTTCACGCGAGCAAGGCTAGTTGCTCACCCCACATCTACCCTAACCCTCACCCACGGCCAAAGCACGGCCTAGCGGCCGCGAAAAAGGCGGCACGCGGCTGCGCCGCGTGCTCGGAATGCGGAACTGGGAGAGGGCGCTGGAGAGGAATCGGCCGCCAGAACCAACGCCGAACATTGCCCGACCAATCAGAACGCGTTAGTCCTATAGATCTACTTTTTATCAATGTGTAAACATTACTCCCTTTCTGCTACGATATGCTCCACCATATTCTCTTTCCAGAATATGCCTCCGCTTTTTATCCAATAGGCAAATTATTCCAAAAGAAATGCCCGCAAAGGTCTATAGAAAATATGCGTACTTGTACCGGTACATATCATCAGGGGGATTAATTTGTATCTGTCCGTCCGAGACAATTTCTCAGAAGGTGATAGTGATGTGTTTGGAGGAGCCTGTGCGGTAAGGGCTGATTTACACCCACCCGTCCCCAAGGGCTAAATAGGTGCGGTACATAGGTTGACTTTTTCCGATCGCTTGCTCCCGAGGATCCGAGGATCTGCCTTCACGTCGTCGACACTCGCCGCCGGTACAAACCCGGGCCCCCACAGACCAACGGATAAACATCGAGTGTTCCTCCGATCGCTCGTCATCTCCACCACCAACCATTGGCGGAGGGAGGGGGGGGGGGGGGGTTGGAACATGACCCGTGATCAGTGAAAATAACTATAGTTGACGGTCGTGGAAGAAGAACAGACGCTTGCTCCAAGTCTCCCGCCTCCTACAACTGCTTGCTGTAGATCCATGTGCGAGGGGAGCTACAAGTGCCCGCCTCCCCTCCCCCTCCTTTCGTACGCATCACACTGTTGGGTCTGCTGGTTCTTCTCTGGTCACCGTCTTCTATGGTTCTTTGGCGTGAACAGGGGTAAAAACGAAAGTCCCCGTTGGCAAGAAGAAGACCCTCAAAAGCACGTGTCCCTTTGTTGGGGATGCCAAGATACTTCGTCATCGATAGCAAGAACAAAACAAGCCAACAGCAACAACAACAACCAAAACAACCAATGGCACCTTTTCAGAGTGCGAGACCGCAGAGGGTGGGGGTTTGCTGTAGGTGCCCGTTCACCAAGACGGACAAGCTGCACACGAACGCATTTAGGTAGCTACAAAAGTTCGTACAACGGAGCGGCTCCAGAAGCGAGGAAAGAAGGAGGCTGTCTGAGTGTGACTTGTCGTTGCAGCGTACCGAAGTCAATTTCATGCCCAGTGACCGATCCTCTTGATGCCGCGCGGTGCGGTGGTGCAATGTCGACCGTCACCAATCGTCATTGATTGCGCTGCCGACCGAGGTGGAATTCGTGTCCCATGGGTTGTGAGAGGAAACGGCACGGCGGCGGCTGCTGCTACAAGGTACCGTCCTCACCCCCCCCCCATTGTAGGCGGTTGGGTCCTGTAACCAGCCGGGGGCATGGAATCGGGGCTTTGGGGCACGTGTAAAACACGCTCAAAATCATGTTTTGTTGTTGATACGGGGAACAACCTTTGACTTTAGAGAACAAGCAAGGAGGCATGATACGCGTACGTGCATGCATGTACGTATCGTGGGTTTTTGGGAGCTACCCCAGAATCAGATGCGGACGAAAAGAGGGCATTCAGTTGCACCGCCCAGTTGTTGTCCCCCATGGACGTTTTTGGCGCTGTACCCCGCGGACTTCCAAGCACGTCTTCTTCCGACAAGCCCAATAGTTGAGGAGACTGCTGTGTGGATGGCAGACAGCAGTTCAGTATAATTGGAAGCGTAGGATCCTGCGGACCCATCCGTTGCACGTACATCCGCTAATTTGCGGCAGGACACATTCAAAGATTCGAGGTGTAGGAAGGACCGGTCGCTACAAGCGCTCCGAGGACCGTCGGAAGATCGGGAGACCGCTGATGGCTGGCACGGATTTTCCGGATGGCGGGCACGATTCTGATGGATGGAATACACGGATATTTGGATCTTTCAGGCCACTTGCTGCCATGAACTGTATGTGGCCGACCGCTTGTGGCACCTTTCTGCTCTGCTCTACTCTGCCCACTTTTTCTCTCTTTCACGACAACAAGTTGCCCAAACAGCAACCATAGAAAAACCTGGCTGCCGGCAGTACCACTGCTGTACTCTAGCGGGCTAGGAAAGCTCCCTCGACCGTTTGGGACCCTTTGTTCCACGCCGCCTACGGAAGGACCCATGTTGTTTAGGGCGACGGACAAGATAAACAACTCTGTGGACAGGCATGAGAGGAAGGCGCGGGAGAGGGAAAGAAATAGAAAAAAGATAGGTATTGCCAAACAATACAATAGCGAGCAGCAAGAGAGGCCTTGCGACTTACTGCAAACACTTGCGCCGCCGCTGCTGCCATGCCTAGGGGGGACACCCGCTCAACGTGTCCTGCCGAGCGCCGGCCCACCGCTGCTGCCTCTCCCTCCCTCCCCCCCTCTCTCCCTCTCTCTCTCTCTCTCTCCTATTATGTGTCTTCCCATTTCTTTCGGCGGAAGTAGCCCTAGGGAGAGCCAACCAATGGCCGGAGACGGCGGTGAGGAGCAAACACGCCGAGGAGGAGAGAGAACGGCCAGGCCGTCGAAAGCACCCAAAACGAAACATGCAGAACAAAGCTACACGCACGCCAAAAAGAGCAAACCAAAATCGGGTGGTCATGAGTGGGTCACGCTGCTGAACGGAGCGCGCCATCATGGACCCATATATACTGTACTCCAAACCCAAGATCCAACAACACTTTTCCGCGTGGTTCGCAGTGTTGTTGGGGAAATATTTCGGAGAGTTGCGGAGCGTGGGAAATTGGCATCTATCCTCCCTCAGTACTTCTTCTCAGTATGTATGCGCGTTTTCTCAGCTTACCATAGGAAACGCTGTCCCTGGTCTCCACAGCGTTTTTTTTTTTTTTTTACGATAGTAGCCCCTCCCTTAAGGGCTAGCTGAGGGGACACGTTTCTGTCTGGTCTGTGCTACTCACGCATGTCGTCATCACGACATGATACACCAGTCAGAGAGAGAGAGAGAGCTGCAGGGCGTGAAGCGGCATGCTGACGACGTCGTCCTAATGTCGTTGTTTGTGGCGTCGTCCTACGCTGCGATCGTTCTGGAAAACTCGCGCTTTCATTAAGCGTGCGTTGCTGTCATGGGTTGGTCTTGCCACTGCTGCTGTAGACCTGCCGCGGTAGTTTGACGATATTCATACTACAGTACATCTTTGAAGCGTTGACAGTGTCGAAGGCCAAGGAAAAGGAGGAGGAGACGGCAATCGGTTGCTCGCTGGAAAATTTGTGCAGTGTTTATTTTTTTTCTGTTTTTCCTCGGGTGGATCAAAGTCGGTTTCCCTGTAGGCAGGCAGCAAGTGCTCTTGCAGAAATTGCAGGTGTACCACAAAGGCCGGCGTTAATGCAAACACGTGAATGCCTCGTGATTTTCACGTTTGCGTGTGTGTGCGCGCAGTTCTTTTAGCCTTGCCATCGTCCTAATCTTGCGGACCCCGCCCGGATCACTTCGTTCCGCATCCAATTCCAACTGAGCCGCGTCGTGCCTGTTTCTTTCGTTGCCTGCACAGACCTCGCGGCGCGGTCACGCCAACCCGTGCTAAACGTCCGTCCCGCGTGCCTTCATCCCGTCCCGGATGGTATTCCGCCTCCATCGCTGATGACAATCGGTTTTCCGCTTGTATTATAGTTGCGAAAAGCGACCGTGTGACAGTACTCAGTACTCAATTTACAAACGATTGACGCCATGCAGTTGCCCCGCCCCCCCCCCGCCCCCGATGTACCCCCCTCTCCCCCCCCCCTTTGACAGGCGGTGTTGATAGTAAACGTCGCCAGTCAGTGCAGCACGGCGGAAAGGAACTACCTAGAGCTGCAGGCACTACGAGAAGCATACGACGAGGTACACAATCCTAGGTTTCCGAGTGTTCAAATTTTTGTTTGCAAACGGCAAATTGGTGTGGTAAACGTCGGAAAGATTTTGTGAGGGGCTTACTGCCGGTAGAAGCGTTGCTGCACTGGCCATGATGTCATTCACGTTTTTTCATCCCAACCATGCCTTGTGGTCGTCGCGATCATGCCCAAGATAAGCCAGGGTTATCACCAGTCTCTCGACAGCACGCATTGGCGCATTCTCCGAAACGAAGAACACAGCAACAAAAGAAAGCGACATCAGTTTGGTCGAGTCCTTTGTTTACATGAGAGAGTGTACTGTGACACACCAGGATAGCCTGCCCCCTCCGGAACCGATCTGAACCCCTTCACGGACGGGCTGCTTGTACGGAAAGCGACGTACCGAGGGAGTGTATTTTGACACTCTATGAAGCCTGCCTCCTCCTGAACCAACATTGAAACGCTCTTAAAACAGAACGAAGTTTGGGGGCCGCCACAGGAGCGAGTGTATGGTGGCGCACCAACATGCAGTGTGGCCATTCTAGAAACAACGCGCGGTCCAATCGCCTAAAGACTTGGATGAGACAAACCGCCAGATAGCCCCTCACCTCCCCCACCCACTCCCTTGTGCCTCTCTCCCCCGTGCTCTCCCTCTCGTTAGGAAGAGCTCGCCATCGTAGCCTTCCCGTGCAACCAATTTGGAGGACAAGAGCCGGGCAGCTGGCAAGAGATATCTAGTTCCGCGGAGAGAAGATTCGGCGTCACGTTTCCCATCATGGGCAAGGCAAGTTATTGCATCTAATCGGATGGAACGGGGTAGGGAACGGGACGGGGCGGGATGGGTTGGGTTGGGATGGGATGGGGTGAACCAGGACGGGATGGGATGGGATGCGATGGGACTAGACGGAATGGGACGGGATGAGATATAAAAATTAAGATACAGGGGATCCGAGGAGAGCAGGGTTGCAACACAAACACCACAACGAGACCCGTCTCTTGCTTCCGGCGGACTCGAATGCTGCCATTTTTCCTTTAACATGCTCACGCGAAGAAAGGCCTACGGAAGGGCCAGACATCCAAAAGGGCGAGGACGCTCCCAAAATGGACATAACACTCTCTGATCTCTTCGGTTTGGCTCTTACTATCGTGTTTGTGACGGTTTTCGGGGACGTTTTGTATTTCTTCGTTTCGTATTTAGAAGTGTGCGCCGTGTACGGGCAGTTGGCCTGTGCCCACGGAAGGCGTCCTATTCGCTTGGACAGGTATGGGTGTTTGGAGGTACATGCTGAGCAGAGACCGGAATGGTGCTCAATGTTTATTGTGAACAAACAACAACAACAACAACAACAACAACAACAACACACGTAATGGTGTGTGTATCGTGCCCGCCCCGTTGTTGTTGCCAGGTGGAAGTGAACGGGCTTCGGTCGCAACCTCTGTTCGCATGGCTCAAGGCAGCCTCGGGGGTGCCGGGGAACATCGAATGGAACTTCACGAAGTTCCTTGTCGTGGGGGGCAACCACGTGACAAGATACTCCCACGAGGTGCGTGTGTGAGGGTGTGTTGGTTTACTGGTATCGGCTAAACTTAGAACAGAAAAAGCTTAAGACCATGGGTGCGTGTGGGTGCTTATTTGCATCGACCGCGTCAACCGGTTGACCAATGAAAAGACGTCGGGTTCAGTGCGGCCTGTGTGTTTCGTTTCTGCAATAAGCGTCGACCGCGCTAACCGGCTGATCCATGAAAAATGGCGTCAATCTTCGTAAACTGCGAGATAAAATACTGGGAACACGCTTTTAAGTGATAGTGCTCCTCCTACAGAGGGGCGCCGTGACTGTGTGCTGGTGTGTGCGTGTGGTGCGCAAGGAAGCTTGCGTGTCGTTGTGCGCGTCCACAGCCGTCATTGGCTAACCCATGACAAGTCAACAGTCTCGGCCGACATAGGTTACATACGCTCCTGCACTAATGCTAGTGTTCGCACTTGCGTTGCCGCCGCCGTCTTATTTGTCTATACCACCCGACGTTGGCAGAATCGTTTTATTGTTGCTTTGAGTCGCATACACTGTGGCGACGAGTGTAGGGAAGGCGATGGTTTGGTCGCAAGAGCGGGCCTGTTGGCCAAGGATGATCGGCTGCATACACATGCACTTGGACGTTCGTTTCGGCGACGTCAACCACCGCAGCCGCCGCTGTGTAGGCAGGCCACCGTGGCTGGCTATCTACCACCTGCTGCCGCAGGTCCACACAACACACCTTCCGAGAACACCAACGTCCCGGTATTGATGTTGCCCTGGAAGTTGCCCTCAACGACAACCTTGTCGCAAGAGGTCACGTTGGCGGTAAGGACGACCCCTTTGCCGACCACCAGCACTCGCTCCTCGTGCTTCGCGGCCAACACGTCTTCCGCGGCCGGCATCTCCTCCTCCTCCGGAGTAGAAGCGGCGATAACAGGCTCGGCCTCCGCTGCGTGCAACTGTCGTTGTTCGTCTTACATGTTGTCCACTCAAGCTTGTCGTTCGGTCCTCGAGCAAGGCTGCCCCGAAGGCCCGGCCGTTGGCGAATGAGCTACTAGCACAGCACGTGTACGGTGGTAACGTGGTAACCCGCTCGGAAGACCTGAAATTAAGGCTGTGTTCTGGAGGGAAACCTACAAGCTAGCACCCTTTCCTAACGTTGTCAACATTTGAGTCTTGTAAGCGAACCGGAATTGTGCGCACATGCCGCTGATGATCTCTGGCTTCACTTCACACACGCTCTACTTCGAAGTCACTACTTTGGTCCCGCGCAAACATGTTCCAATCCACTCTTCTCTCCTCCCGAGTATGTTGCGTCCCAAATGTACTTCTGGCATAGTACGTTGATGGTGTGTACCACGGTATTCTCTAGAACGCCTCCAACTTTGGAAAGAAAACTCGGATGGCGGGTTCAAACGGGAACGAGACATCATTTGGCACCCTTTCCCCGCGCCTTCCTGCTTTTTTTTCTTGCATCAGGTGAATCCTAGTCAGATCGAGCAAGACATTATTAGTGCTCCCAGTGCCGGGTACGAGGGCGACTTATGATGAGAATGGTCTCAGGGACCAAGACAGATGGCGTTGGACACCAGGAAAAGAAAGCGCCGCGTGCGGTGCGCGTCTACTGCACGTTCAACGCCTCTACGGACAACCCAACAACCCGCTCTCTATCTCCCCCCCTCTCGGAGAGCAGCAAAGCAATGCGCGGCTTGCGAGAGGTGTGTGCACGCGAGGCGCGTCGTGCTTACTGTAATCCCGACGGATTTCACGCACGACGCTCACCCATCCACACGTAAGTGTGGAGTGGAGGGGGGGCGTTCCTGTTCTTTGCTGGATCAGCTTAAGGCCCTCCCTTGCGTCCACGAAGAGCGAGGTCTGTCTTTGTCCTGAGGAAATCTCACCAGACAAGGCAGCCCCCCTCCCCAAGCACTACCACTGCCATTCGGCGTAGGAGCGCTCTTTCCTGTTGTTGTTGTTGTTGTTGTTGTATTTGCGGCGAGAGGCTGCCATCGGAGGGTGGGTGTGCACGGAGCGTTTGCGCGAGAGACTGACTGTTGGGTAGTGTCCGTACAGCGCTCAGAGACGTCTTTCGGGGTTTGCCTTATGTCCGGTACAGATTCACGTGTTCGAAAGCCAGGTTTCCCTTAACCCTTGCTTTGCTTGTTTTTGGAATATGTTTTTTCTCTCTGGCTCGTTTTGTCTATTTAATTCGAGTTTTTATTTTAGGGGGGTCGTGGATGTCCGACGAAGGACCTCCTCTTCCTCCGGAAAAATGCGTGCGTACATACACGCGTCAGCCATTTTGACTTAGTGGGGCTGTTCGTTGGCTTTGTAAATTTCATTTTATTGTTGGTAAAATCGACTGCTGCTGCTGTTACTGCTGCTGTGTTGTCGACCGGCGGACTTTACGGCACTGACCAGCAGGAATAGGTAGCAGACGTCCGCGTTAGTATTGGCGTTGCAATAGACGATCTGCTGCTGTGTCACATCAGTGATGACTTCACTTCCCTCCTCCGTCGACGTATGCATACACCACTGGGCCCGAAAGCGACTGTGGCTATTGTACCTCAGATCATACAATAGCTGAGTGAGGTGTTGAATGAGTGGGCCCTTTTATTGCTGCACCGTAAATGGGTTTACATTTTCTTAGATGTGTTGCGTGATTGGTGACGTCAAACGCCGAACATCGTATTCTACCTTGTCTTCCACTTGTAATTTTTTTTCTGGTCTTTGCCCTGCGGATCACGCTGCGGTTGGCACGCCGCTTCGTTGTTGCGGTTTAGTGTGAAATCTTGTAGAGAAATGACAGTGCTTTTTGGTGCGTGCATGTTCTCGTTTGTAGCTCTTTAAGTGTAGTCTACATCCCTGTTTTTTTTTTGTTCAGCGTCCTTCCTCTTCCCTCCCCTGGCTACGGGGAACCTGCGAAGACTGTTCATCCATACCCCCCCTCCCCCCTCCCCACACCTGACGTTTCTTTGCTGCCGTGGGGTGCTTTCTGTTTTGGTAAGAATTTTCTCTTTGGGGAGTGGAACCGTTGGGTCGGAATCTGAGCGATTTTGGTCCGTGCTGAGTGGTGAGGTGGTGAGGGCGGACGGACGGTGGGGGGGGGGCGAACAAGGCAAAAGCGGGCGCGCCCGCCCGCGCGCCCCGCTGCCTGCTGCCATCGTTGGCTGTCTCTATTGGTGTGCAAGTTTCTGTTTGTTTTGAGAGCGCGTCCCTGCCATTCAGACCGCCTTCTTTTTCTGTATTTGAAAATTCGGGGGGCATGCGGTGGATACTACAGACGAAGTGGTTCGGGCTTGACACCCCCTCGTTGGCGCGAAACAGACAGCAGTGTTGATCTCTTTTCCGTAGGGCACGTACGATATTCCGTGCTGCATTTCTTGCTTGCGAGCATGCCCGGCCGGCGAAGAGGAGGAGGACGAGTACGGGTTTGACAGTTGGCCGTGGTGCGTGTGTCAAGATCAAATGCTGGAGCGGCATCGTTCTACGTACGTAGTGAGCCGAGCCCTCTGTCAAGTATGGTGAGTTAAGTTAGCCCATAGATATAGTCTGAAGAAACGCGTGGTCCCCGGGGCGCGCTCTACCGCCTTTGGTAGAGGCCTCCGTGAGTGTATGAGAGAGGCTAGCTTCGCGGATAACGAGTTGGTCACTTCTCCTGTATATATATGTATCGATCGGTGGGACACCTGTGCTTAGATAGGGAAAAGTAGTAGTAGCGTTTGGTGAGCTCAGTGAGCAGCTTGGGGTTTCTATTCGGTTCCTGGTCCGGTTTATTCTTTAGTAGTTTTATTCCTGTCGCCGTTTTGTTTCCGGCTAGCTTCCTTGATTCCCCGTATCCCTTGGTATTGTTTGTTGCGAAGCCGCTCAACGTTTTCGCCTCCCTCCTCTGCCACGCACGGTTTCGCGGTGAGCGAGCGGAAGAAGGAATCGTTGCTACGTCGACCAACTTCGCGCGATCGAAGAGGAAATACTGCTGTGGGCGTCCCGTCAAAAAGCCAGGCTTTAGCGGTGCAACACACGATGTTTTGGGGCGGGTGTGGATCATCAACCATAGATGAAAGTGCGTGTGCTCGCAGAGCGGAGTGGTGGTGGTGGTGGTGGTGCAAACGTCAATCTCTAAACCTCAAGTTCTGGATTCTACTACGTGACCCCCCGGGTGCTAGCTCAACGGAAAAGCTACAGTGGTGGTAGTAGTGGTAGTGGTGGTGGTGGCGGCGGTGGCGGTGGCGGTGGCGGTGGCGGTGGCGGTGGCGATTCGCGCTGAAATCGTGGCAGTGGCACGAGAAAGAGCAGCGGCGGTCCGACTCTCCGTTGGAAGGAGGGAGGGCAATGCCTCCGCTGCAAAAAACAACTCACCGGGTGGTATTATTGTAGAGCGGGGAGGCCTCGTTGTGTGACAGATTATATTTACATACGAGACGTGGAACTATTTACGAGTCTCGGAACGGGGCGGGGCAACAACGGCAGGGTAAGGCGGTGGCGGGGGAGAAGGGGGCGCTGACTTGATGGCACTATTGACGTGCTATGGCAAGCCTCCCCGAGCATGGCAGGCAGGCCCGACGCGTTTTCGGGTATGTATCAGAACCCAAAGCGCCCCTATCCTTTTTTTTCATTTTCCCATAATCAGATAATGGAGAGGTTTCTTAGCCTTCGACGTTGTATCAACCGACTTATCGACCTTCTACGGGATATCTTCTATTCGCAATAATGACACGAAAAAATGGGAGTGCGAGGGTGTTCACGGTTTCTTTCTGCGAACCGGAGGGGCACGACGCCATGTTTATGTTTGAATACCGTTCTTCTACGATATGACGGGCCTTTCTCGTAGACATCTGACGATCGAGATTAATTGATTGATGCAGCAAGGACCGGAAACCACGATCAGCCCAACTAATTTTTTTGTTGGTTCGTTGTGATGGTATTGGCTCTGGACAAAGGCGCTATCAGCTCATGTGTAACGGTATTGCTGCCGCTTACTGGGTAGACAGATACCATCCATAGGACGATAATTGGGCAAGAGCCCCGAGGGCCTGGTTGGCGTCGTCAAAAGGAGGATGGTCTTTGGCGTGTCAGTGCCGCATTTACGTAGATCGTGTTGTGGCAATTGGTAGACAGGAAGAGTCAAGAGAATGGCGCGTGGGCCCCCCAATTCCAGCGCTCAACTAGATCAAGGCCCAGAACCAACGAAAGTGAGCCAAACAACACGTGATTCTCTATGATAGTCGGATCCGCCCCATACATTGTTTCGAGATTTGTGACTTGAGGTACATACAGTACCATGGCATGCAACAGCACATGGATCTATGCTCAATAGCCCCCTCTCTAGCATCAAGTTCGCTTTCTGCCCGACAACACGAGCCACACCTTAAAAAAACAATCTGGGAGTTAAGAAATTCAGACTCGAGAACAAAAAGCAAATACTAAAGATTTTGACCAAAAAACAGGTGCTAAGTCAAGAATCTTGCACTAAAACCTATAAAGTCGCTGTTGGGTTACCCCACATGAAAGAAAAGAAACGAAGCTCGGGTAAAATAAGGCATAGTGGTGACGCAGGGCACGTCTCCGCGGCATCGCATGATTGGCCTGTAATACGAGCACGCGAAACTTCTCTTCGACCGCATTTCTTGGTCTTTTCTTGTTCTCGATCTCGACACAGGAGGAGCGTGGGTCTTGTGCCCTATTCCACAAAATATTTGTGTGGTTTTTATTTTTGTAGCACCGATCGTACACGAAGAAAGGGTGATCATCAAAGATCGAAAAAGAAAGGTGCTCGGGCGTTGTCCATAACCACAGAATCCCATCACCATGAGAGACACATACCCAACCCGAAGCCCCGAACGCTTCGGCACCACTACCCGCAATACTTCCCCTCCCCATGCGCGGCTCCGCCTTCAACCCGTTCGTCGCGGACCTTGCCCAGTATGCCCTCCACCTCAAGCTCTGGCAAGAACTCGCCAAGCCCGGAGCCCTCCGTCATCCCTTTGTCTTCCCCCCTGCGTCCATTGCTGTTGCTTCTTGTCTTACAGGCTGTCCGCATACGCCCTCTGGGACACATCTCCACGATCGCCGCTCTCACCGCATGTCGCCGAAATCCCTCTCGATTGCAGGCACCACGCTACTATTTTGCACACTGTCTCCTATTGACTGGCACATAGCATAGCGCGCTTTAGCTTTCTTTTCATTTCCCTTCAAACCGGGCGAAGTCAATGGGTATCTCCAGCGCCGTTTCACTGCGTCAGGGTCAATCCACACTGTGAGGCTGGAAGAAGGGATCTGCAACTGCTACGGTTGTATGCCGCTGAGTTGTTGTTGTTGGTGTTGTTTTCACAATAACTTAGTAACCCAAACGTTTTCTTGTCAACATCGGTGGGTTCAGCGGTGGCATCGAACACGTTGAAGTCGTCCTTCAAGAATGTCGCCCAATGCTGTTCCGGGTAACCCCTACCCGAGTCAGCCCCCCCGACGATGTCGCCGAACATTCTCACTTCGAGAGTCGCCCTTCCGGTTGTCTGGCCAATACTCCCGCGCAACCAGTACTCGCCGTAGCCGGACGGTGGTTTTCACGCTTTGGCGTTCGACGTTTTGAAGGGTTCGGGCGAATGAGAGCTTCGGATATTTGCCGCGCGTGCGGCGGTACCCGATAGCCCGTAGCAGAATCCGGTTTTGTGTCTTCGTCAGCACGTCGAAGTGGTCCCGGCACGGGCCCATGTCATGCATCCGTCTAGCAGGGTCTCCATCGTCTCCGTTTTCAGAAGCTGAACCTTTAATCTCCGCGGTGCTGTCTGCCTGTCGAAGAGCCCCCGGGCGTACTTTCAGAGATACTCCCACGCTGCTCTTCTCCGTTGGTTGATCCCCAGCGTGAGTTCACCGTCTTCTCCGACCCGGCCACCCAGGTATCGGAACTCGGCTGTCTGGGCGTATTTATGTCCTCCTGCTTCGATCACCAGTGGTGCCTGAGCTAGTGGAGTTGGCGCTCCCTTCTTCGGCTTTTTCTCCGGTGCCCACGTCAAGAGAGTCGCTGTCTTCATCTCGGACACCGCCAGTCCAAATTCTCCGAACACTTCCAAGAAAACAGTTGGTCATCATCTTCGCCAGGGCTTCGGCGGATCCCGATACGAAGCCAGTGTCGTTGGTGTGCAGCACACCCTACACCGCCTTCCGAACTCATTCCAACCGAGTTGCCCTCGTCCTCGCCCCAGTCTCCTCCTCGAGGTATACCAGTCCCTGAGAATTGCGGCGTCTAAGCTGAATCGTACCAAAACTCTTACGAGCGCTGCCGCGAACAAAATGTTCAGCAGTAGTGTTGACAGCACATATCCTTACTGTTGGGTAACCTCGAACCAGCCAGAGGGCCCCTCGTTGTCCATGCGCTCCCAGGCATGCTTGCCATCGTGGAAATGGCCGATCACTACTGTGATCATTCGTTCGGGATCCCTGCTGGAGCTAGTACCTGCCACAGCATTTCTCGGCCAACCGAGTCGTAGCCATTCCGGGGTCTAGGAAGCACAAGCAGAGTGGAATTCACCCCAGCTCCTGGAGTAGGCGCACGACGAACAGCACCTCGGCGGTGGATCTACCAGGTCGGAAGCCGCACTGCTCTTCTGGAATAATGTCGGGTTCTTGGCAATAGCCACTGAGACGGTTAGCGATGATCTTCAGGAGCATTGTGTCTGCGAGAGAAGGGATATTCCGCTGTAGTTCTTACAGTTGGATCGGCGCGACGTCTTGTAGAGACCTTGATAGTGGCATATTTTCATTCCTGCGGGACCCTTCCCGCTTTCCACACGTCGAAGCGGATGGCGTAGAAGTGTTCGATAGCGATCTGGGCTCGTCTGCGCTGTCGATGTTGAGTAGCTCTACCGGTAGTGAAGAATGGCCCGGCGCCTTGGAGTTGTCAATTCCCCCTGCTGCCATTTGAGTGTCCTCCAGTGTTGGTGTCGACCACAGATGTACCGGATCTCCGGCAGCCGGTGCCGTCGGTCTCGCAGCTTTTCCTCCTCGACGATCGATGGGTTCAATGTGGGAGATTGAGCGTTGAGGACAGAGCCGAAGAACCTCGCCCACCGTTGGAGAACCTCCTCCTTGGTCCTCAGCATGAAACCATTATAATCTTTAACGAACTGTTATCCCCCGGTCTGCCTCCCATCAAGACCTACCGAGATCTTGAGGTATTTGTACAGTCCCCGCATGTTATGTACTCCGTGAAGATCATTTCCACCCACAAATACTTTTCGAAGTGGGCATATATGCCATCGTCGGCTGCTGTACCCACTCTCTTCCACGCGGCCCTGAGTGTTCTCCATGTTGCTGAGGCCCGGTCAGTTTCATCTCCTAGCGTGCCGTTCTTCGTCGCTCGAGGCAAGAGCTATCTCGACTGCTGCTCTCGTTTCCGGGCTCTCACACCACTCCGGCATAGGTGATACCAGAGTCTCTGCCGACACCACTGACTGCGCTGCTTCAAGGATGGCTACAGTACGATGAACTCCCTTGCGGCTTCCGGGGCCGTCATGTTCGACTGGTCTGTTAATTGGCCAACGTTTTGAAGCAACTGATTGGCCACCTGCAGCGCTTTGCGACTGACTCAACTGTCTTCGGATCGGCTTGACGTGCACGGCGCGATTGTTGGCGATCCGTAGCCACCACCATGTTGTGATCGGAATCCGGTTTGACTGTGTATGTTGGGGGTGTACGACCACGTTGCGTTCTCTACGTTGGTGTGCCTGCCTCGTTATAAGGATGTATTCTACGCTTGAGATCGCTCACCCTTGCGTGAAGTAGGTGGTATCCTCCTTTACGCGTTGTGAACAAGGAGTTCGTGATGACGAGTTTGTTGTCTATCGAGAAGTTCAGCAGTCGTTTGCCGTTGTCGTCCAGTTCACCACGTCCACCAGGGCCAAGAGCCCCATCTTCCAGGTTGTCTCCCTCTGCTCTAAGCCCCGAGAGGTAACATCCATCATCACATACACATGAGAGTGTCGAGCTTCTCCCAGAACTCTTTGCCTCCTCGCTGACCTCTCTGCCGGTGCGTGTGCGGCTACGAAGGTCACCGATCCGTTCTTCTTGCCTCTCCTTTCTCAAACCGCATGGCCATGAGGCACTCTCGATATACGTGCTCGGTAGTGTAAGTGGAGTTGCGGCACATCGACTCTTTCCACGGCTTATCCCACCCCATACTTCCCGCCTGACTTGGTTCCACAACAAGAAGCCCCAAACCCTGCTGCTGCAAACTCCGTGATTCGCTCAGCCCTCCTCGTCTCCTGCCTCTCCACCACCCCAATGAACGCCGAATTGCGCCGCCTCGTGAAGAACATACTATCGACCATACCCGTTGGCGTCCTATGTACACAGCCACAGTCCGGACAAGTTGGCGCCGCTGTCTCGCCCAGGCCTCACGTGCTACTCTCCGACATAGTCTACTCGGTGCCTGTTTGGCTCGGTCGGAACTGAGCTCTCATCACCACACGCGTGTAGCAAAAAAGAGGTAGGTTCATGTATGTCCACCTACATAAAGCGGTGGCATATCAAGCAGCGTGCGGCCACCTCAATCTTTCCACCCGGCACTCCATTTCGCGCCATCCCTGAGGAGAGCGCTGAAAAGGTCAATAGGCACCATCCTTTCCACTGTACAACAACAGTGCATGCGATCTTTATTTGCCGCTTGCTGCAGATCATAGCGGAGTGATTCGAACCCTTTTTTTCACTGCTCCTACGTGACGCCGTATTAGAAAACATTTCTCCCATTTATGGTACTCGCGCTCGGGGTAGATGCGCGCGGTGAGGGACGCATGCGGTCACACATCACACCACCAACAACGTACCTGGCAAGTGAACAGCAGTGAAGACCTTCACTTGTCTCTCGGACGGGGGGGGACGGCAATGTGAACAAGCTGTATACCCGAATGAAATTCGCGTCCCCCCAGCTTGAACGCTTGAGCTTGAACATGTCACATCGCTTGATTGAAGGTGATGATGTACTTCTAACTTGCATTGTTGTTGTAACAGCGGCTTGCTCGGTCACATGGCGCTCTCCTTCTTGCTTTTACTGGTGCTACCGATGGCGGCAAGCGGATGGCATCATGTTGGAGTCCACCCAGGAAGCTTTCGCTACAAACGTCCAAGACCAGGTCAGTCGACGAAACCCCCTCACGGGTGATGAGGTGGCACTCAACACAGCAGAGCTAGTTGTAAGGGAATGAAGTAGCCACAGACAGCAGGTGTTGTTGTGGACTTCGAACTATGTTTAAGCACCCTCCCCAGCAACGAGCTTGGCATGCGTGCCATGCGACACTATCGAAACTGCACAACACACATGGCAGAAACATGCATGGCAGTCGAGAAATGCGGAAGATTGCACAAGATACCACACCCCTGGATTTGTTCGTAAATCTCAATTTCTCCACGAAGAGGATGCCACAACAGTCAAACATGGATTTTACTTTTTCGTTAGCTCTCGACGAGGCGATTTCAACGCCGCAATATGCGGCACCGTCACAGGTTTTAGAATATCGTATGGTTTCTACTGCAAAGTAATCGAGATTTGAAAACCTGCCCAGCGGTGTGTTACCTAATGCAACCTACGGGTGTAGGCATTAAAAATCCCAGAGTGCATGCTCTATGGTGTTAACCAGGTACCGTATTGGGTGTTGTTCTGATCACGAAGATGACGAGGCTCATGAAGTGTAGATTAGGGCACGTAATGTGTATTTTTTAATTACATGGCATCGACCGCGCTAACCGGCTGAGTGTATGGGATTTGACCCCTTCCTTCGGAATCAATCACATTTATTTATGCTGTATCGAATTATCTTCTCTGACCACAGGTGCAGGTTGTTGTTGCTTTCCGTTGTTCTCTTTCTCTTGATGAACGATTTCCCAAGCCAACTCACACAGATCCCAAGCACACGCGATCACCGGATCGTACGAACTGAAGGGCACACGCCTCGGCATAAAACCCAAATCTTGCCTGACGTCACGTCATGGCATGTGACGACGCCAAATACCCATGGTCAAGCACGCTCACAAGTCTCCCTCCAATTACCGTAACAGAGGGATAAAAAACGGGAACAGAAGGGTTCTACCGACATAGGGGGGTGCAAGAATTGGACGACAGTAGAGTTCTTCTTCTGAAGTACGAGGAGAAGACTCCATACTATCGGGCAGGATGTGTGTGTTTTCATCTGTTCTGGCGCCAGTCGATGGACACCTTGCGGTGTGTACTGCTGTGAGTGGACGTCTCAGCCGGGGTCGCACAGGAGTTGCGGAGGAATTTTGGCATTGCCTCTGGCATTCAGTACTTTTACTAGCAAATTTGTGTTGGCTGGCAGCGCTCCTTTCGTACGTTTTTATGTGGGGGTGTGGGCACTCACAGTTGGGTCGGGTGGCCTGTGAGCCGCGCTATTGCTGTATCGCCGAACAAATGCTGCTATTTATTTAGCCTGTTTGTGGATTGCCTTTACCAGAAATCCCGTATGGTCTGAAGGGAAGACCCGGATGGTGTTCCACAGGCGTTCTTCTGTGAAGCCTCATGTTTTCTTTTTAGCTTTTCCTGTTATTGACGTTACATTTGCACCCTTCGGTATCCTGCAAGACGAAGGAAACCCAGGATTTCAATTATTTTCGTCCATTTTACTTCTGTGGCGCGTTCCCCATTTTTTCCCCCGAGAATGAACAAAATAACGCCGTCCATCCCTGGTCGACCGCGGACTGGAATTCGTGTGCCAAAGAAATAATCGTTCTCCACATTTGCTAGATAGGCACCTATTTTGCGTGAATGCGTCGGCACGATTCGACCTCACGCCAAGTTTGCGAAACCTGGCGACCACTAGGGTGATCGGCGGGCGAATCCTTGTTTAGTCGCGTGAATACATGCCCTTGTAAC